CTAGAGGCGCAGGAGTCACCGGTTTCGCCTACTCGTATCAGGAGCGGTGGTAATGAGGGCCTTTGGGATCCTTGGGCATCGGCCGCAGAGCAAAGGTTCGGGAATGTGTCCAGCGTGTCAGCAACTTTAGGGTGTGCAGGGGTGTCTTCGCCCGTACTTGGTACGAGACCGCCAGGTTCAGGTGATGCGACAAGGCAGGAGCGCGAAATCAGGGTTCCTTCGACCCCGTCACCATTGCCTTCGTTGAATTCGAGTGGGGGAAGCGCAGGAAGACCCACGGCTAAAGCTAAAGCAATGCCTTTTGTTCCCTTGGGAGTACCGCCTTTGGCAGGTCAAGCAGGAGTGCCGCAGGATGGAGGGACCTCAGACCAGTTGAGTGCGCTAGGAGCCATGATGCAGAATCTAATGGTGTCAGTATCGCAGGTGAGCGAACGTTTGGACGCGTTAGAAGGCAGGCCGCGACCTCAGGGTAATGCTGGCGTGAGTAGTCAGGAGCCATCGTTTGGTCAACGGTACGGGGACACTGGTTCGGGTGCTGGTCGTGATGGTTTTGAACGTTTAGGGAGCCCAATACGCGAGAGAAGAGAGCATGGTTTCAGAGAAGCCAGAGAAGAACAAGACATCTTTTCCAAATCGGAAAAATGGTTACCACCACCTCCAACCCCGGACTGTTCGAAGTGGACTAGTCGAGAAGGAGAGATAGAGGGTTTCTTTAGCTATGTCCAGAGCTTGAGGAGTTGGGCGACGCTAGCTTCAGACAAGTTAGCCAACGAGATCAGCCAAAGCATTGCTTGGCCTACCGAGATCGTTCAAGCACATCTAACCCAGGGTCAGCAAGCTAGGAGTGCTAGATTGTTTGCCATTTTGAGACAAGCATTCAGCAATTACGGACGTGTAGATGCCTTAATCAGAGCTTTTGAAGTTGGAGCGCCGATTCACAACTCACCCCAAAAGCCGTTTGGAAACTGCGGATTCGAGTTGTTGCGTGTTCTGAGTTTGGAGTTTGCTTTGAGAACACGTACTGAAGCAATCTGTCTTAGGCAAGAGCTTTTGAAACGAGAATTTCGTTTGGACACGAAATCAACACACATTGTGAGTGACCTTTTACGCGCGATGAGTGTAGAAACTGCTAGATACGACAAACTGTGCAGTACCCTTCCTCAAAACGTTTCCCGTGTCGATTTGGCTTTGTCGGAAAGTGATCAAGCTATGGTGCTAATACGTAACCTCCCATCAGACGCAAGACAGTATGTGTTGTTGCACGCACACGACGATAGTCTCACTGCACTTAGAGAGGCAGGTTTGAAGTACGAACGCCAACAAAGACTCTACAACGAGTTGGGAGCTGTTGGAGGGAGGTTGAGAGAACTTCAGGCAGAGGAAGTTGATGGTGGGGAATTTGATGAGGGTTGGGTAGAGGCTGTAGCAGGGGTGAAGTGTAAAAGGTGTGGGAAGAAACATGAAACTGCGTCATGTACCACAGACCTTAAGGCTGTTGTGTGTTTCAAGCGCGGGGAGAAGGGTCACATTGGGGCCAACTGCAAGAATCCTTCAAAGAAAGACAAGGAAGGCAAAGGTCAGGCAAACACTGGAAAAGGCAACGTTGGAAAAACCAGCCCCGGGAAAGGTAAGCAGAAGGGAAAAGGCAAAGGCTCTAACCCAGCTAAGAAGGGGACTGGTAAGAAAGGGAAGATGTTTGAGTTGGCAGAAGGTGAAGAAGAGGAGTATGTAGAGGAAACAGAACCAGTTCAAGACATTCAGATGTGCATTCAGACGGATTGTGCAGTCTGTCTTGAGTTTGAGCTAGTTGAGAGTTCATTCGAGCACCAACGACCGTTGTCCGAGATTGGTGAAAGACCGCTTGAGAGCCAGCCACAGTTGTTGGGAGATCCACATGAACAAGATCTGACTGCGATGGTTGCATGGTTGGAGAATGTTGCATTGGAGATCGAAGGCCACAAGGAAGACCTAGTTCGACTTCGAGCACGCCGAGAAGTTTGGGTTGATGCGTGTAGCGTGTTTGTTGCAGGTGGAGTTGTTGCAGTTGAACGGTTTGTCGAGGCAACTTGTCCTTTTTGGGATACAAACCGGGGTTTAAATTTAGACCCCGCTTTTGGAGCCGAACCGAGAGCGTGTGACTTGTGTGTTGCTTGCATGAGTGTTCATGACTGCTTGGGAACCCATGATGCAAAAGTTAATTCTGAGATCTTCAGTGAAGATCCAAGGCAGTGTTCTGAGGTGCCCATTGGGCGTGCTTCGGTGCACCTACCTTGGAGTGCCTTTGGTTCCGCCAAAGACACTTTGTGCTTGGAAGAGAGGAAGTGGATGCTTCCTCTGTTGAGTGCCTTGGAGACTCAAGAAGTTTCTGACTGGTGGTTGGTTGATAGTGGAGCTACTGTTTCTGTTTTGGCCATCCAAAACCTCAAGAACTACAAGATAGTTTCAAGGGAACCGTTTAAGTCAACGGGTTTCTATGCCGCGAATGGGACCATTGTGAAGATGTTGGAAAAGGTCAAGATAGAGGTTCAGGTCACAGGTTGGAAGGACGACTGGACTGAGAGTGTGACTGTTGTCATGGGTGCTTTTGTGGGGGAAACCAAAAACAACATTTTGAGCACTTCCTCTTTGAACCAAAATGGATGGAACATCTTTTTGGGATGTGAAGGGGATTCGTCCATGACACATCGTTCAGGTCTTGTTTGTTCCTTGGTGTCTTGGGGAAATTGTCCGTGGATTTGTTTGAAGGGCATTCGCACACTAGATGGATTACCCCGTGAAGAGGATGGTGTGAGGGTTGTTCGGTTCAGTGACGAAGTGGATGAGATGCACCGCGCTCGCGGTCATCAGCCGTACGATCCTAGATGTAAGGTGTGTGTCGCCTCACGTTCGGTTGCTCAGCATCGGAGGAAGAAGCAAGACGATTCGGGTTCGGTGATCGAGCTTCACAGCGACTTTTTCTTCATTGAAGGGTTCAAGTTTTTGATTGTTGCTGAACTTTCATCGCACATGATAGGGTGTATGATTGTTTCTAGCAGCACGGATCATAACCGGAAGAACCTGTCCGCATGGTTACATGAGTTGGGGTGTCTTGGTGGTGATCCTGCAGGTGTTTTGCACGTTTTCACTGATAGTGAGAAGGCAGTCGGAAGTTTGTTCAAAGACGCGAAACTCGAGAAAGTGATCAAGGTGATCAGGGCATCGCCTCAGAGTCCTGAGACAAACGGGTTAGCAGAAAGGGCAGTCAGACACGTGAAAGAAACGTTTGTTGCACTTAGGACGGACTTGAGGACATCAGCAGGGTTGGACATTTTGATGGAGCCTAAGGCACTTCATGAAGTGTGTATGTATGTAGCTCATATGCATAATGTGCATGTTGGGGTGCATGGAACAGCTAAGAGTGCAAGAGAGTTTTTGGAGGGCCGGAGACAACAGACACCGACAACAAGTTTGTTCGGATCTATCGTATTGTGTGAACTTCCCGATGCGATCAGGAAGGATCGAACCATGGAGTTGCCAAGGTTTGCAGAAGGAGCTTACTTGAGACCGGAATTCGGCTCTAAAGCTAGTGTGTGCATTGTTCAGGTGGACGGAGAGTTGAGACGGATCAATCCGAAGACCATCAAGCTGGTTTTGCCACTTCGTTGGGAGTTTCATTTGATTCGCGGGTTTGTGGAACGCTTCGAGACTGATGAGAAGGACGTGCTTGTTGATCGTGACGCTAGGCAACTCGAGGATGATGTGAAGCGTGTTCGAGTCTCAGCTCAACCACCTGATGTGGATCCGGTGTGCCCTAAGAGTGGACCGCCGAAGTCGTGGTTTGATGAGACAGGAGAGTACACTGAGGGTTGCAATGCATGCAAAGCCTTGGAGTTGGGTTTGTCTCGAATGGGTAAGTCTCATTCTAGCAGATGTTGCCAACGGTATGTAGACTGGTTGAAGGCGGAAAGGACCAGGTTCCATGGTAGAGATACTAGAGATGTTCCAGGTGATGAGGAGATTATGCCTTATAAAGGTCATGATCATGAGGTGATTCCGTATGTCGAAGTTCCTCCTGAAGAACACGAAGATGTTGGTGAGGAGTATACACCTTCTATTCCTGATTCCCCCAAGGGTGTTCTCAGGGATTCCGGGGTGAATTTGAGTAAGGAACCTAGTGGGCCTGTACCTAAAGGGTTCGAGGACTTGCCAGGGTTTTCGCGACGAGGTTCGGTTTTCGACGGTGGTGCGGATGTTGATATGCCTGATGGGACATCAACGTCGTCGGCTTCGGCACCTAGAGGGTCTAAGAGGCCGGCTGAGGAAGACACAGAAGAGCTGTCGGATGTTGCAGATTCAGAGACGGAGAAACGGGGTTTGATACGAACGTTAGATCCGGAAGAGTTCAACTGTTTGGCGGATGTGGAACTGGTGGTGGAGTTTTTGGAACCAACCAAGTTGTGTGGGAAAGTCACTTCACCTACCCTTGTCGGGGAAAACGTCTCCAGTATTTTCTTTGGTGGTAGTGAAACTAAGTTCAAGGTGGTGAACTTTTGTGGGGTCAAAGTGAAGGTTTGGCAACCACAGGGCGCGATCGATGATTCGACGCTAGAGCAGTTGAGAGCAGACCACTGTTTCGACGGCATGTTGACAGAGATTGAGAATTTGGACAAGTGTGAAGCTGGATTTCCAGTGCGGCGCCAGGAAGCAGTTGATTTTACCAAAAGGGTGGGGACGAAGATCCTCACAGCACGATGGGTGACGAACTTCAAGATCGTGCTGGGTCAAGATGGAGTGAGAGCAAGGATTGTCATCAAAGATTTTGCTACTTCAAAGGCAAAGTCGATTGGAGCCTCGAGTCCAACACCAGGCGTTGAGGGTTTGAAGTGCGTTCTGGCCATCGCAGCGCAGAATGCCATGTATCTCACAGCTTTGGATGTGAGTGCAGCCTTCATGCACACACCGTTGAAAGAGAAGAAGTATTGCATTAAGATGCCACTGAGTGTAACTTGGGTTGATGGATCTCCTTTGTACTTAGTTCTTTCGAGAGCTTTGAACGGGTTGCGTCCAGCCTCGAGAGAGTGGTTGGACTACTGTACGGGACTTGTGGAACCCTTGGGACTGAGGTCGGACAGTCGGGAACCTTGTATACTTAGTGGTTCTTTGGGTTAGTGGTTCTTTGGGTTTTCTGGTGATCTACGTGGATGACATTTTGTGTGTTGGGTTTTCAGAGGACTTTGGAAAGAAGGTTCATGGTTTGCTGGCTGAACATGTTCCTACCAAGTTTACGGGGGCGGTTGATCCTGTGAAGGGAGGACGACTCAAGTTTGTTGGACGGTTTATTCAAAGGCTTCCAGGTGACCCTAGGTTGTTCATCTTTGTGGAAGAAACATACCTAGATGGTACCTTCAAAGAGTTCCAGATTGGAGGAACTGGGAAAGTGAAGAGTTCGGGAATTTCCGTGCCGGGGATTCGAGCGACGTTGGAAGGAGCTGGGGATTCATTGTTTTTGAGTCCTGAAGGACACTCAAGGTTCAGGCGAGCTTTGGGCAAGATCGCCTGGCTATCTCAGACCTTAGAGTATCTACACATTTTTGTTTGCCTCCTATCTACTGGACAACAGGCACCACAGGAGGTACATGAAAAGGGGTTACGCCAAGTTCTGAGGTTTCTTTACCAAGACAAGAATGTTGGGATCCAATTTCCAAGTGAGTTTGATTTTGGGGGGTGATTCGTTGCTGTTGCTGGCATTCTGCGACGCAAGTCACGCCCCGATGAGAACAACTCAGAGACGGGGCATCTCAGGAGCTGTGGTTGTGTGTATGAACTGTGTGATCAAGTGTTTCGCACGTCATCAAACAGCAGTTAGCCTATCTACTTGTGAAAGTGAGCTTTTCGCTATTCAGGCAACAATGCAGGAGGTTTTAGGTCTTCAAAGACTGGTTTTTCGTCTATTCGAAGCTATCAAGATTGTTGTCACTTTTGTGCCAAAGGGGGTTCGTCTGTGTACTGATAGTGCCTCAGCAAGAGATTTGATCAACTCATCGGACATCCCTCGCAGATCAAGGCATACTGAGGTGCGTGTGTTTTGGGTCCGTGAACAGCTAGAGCAAAAGAAGGTCGAGATTGAATGGATTAAGGGTACGGCTAATCCTAGTGACATGATGACCAAGGTTCTGGACACGAGAACTTTCATGAAGTATAGAGAGCAGTTGGGTTTCGTGCGGCTAGAAGGTGTTCTGGCAGCGTCTCAGATGATGAATCCTGACTGGCTGGAAGGCTGTCTTGAACCTCTGACGAGGTCCGCGACCAAGAAAGCTGATGAGACGTTGTTTTTCATTGAGCTGTGTTGTGAAGAGAACTCATCGTTGAGATTGGTTTGTGGACAGCGTGACGTGCAGTACATTGGGATTACGAAAGACGGTGAACTTCCTGAGACTGTGCGAAGATTGTCGGAACAGATTGAGGAGCTCAAGAAGAGTCGGAGAGTCGAGAAGATCCATTGCCATGCTTCTTGTCCATGCGTTGCAGGTTCGCCCATTCGGAACTTCAGTTCAGACCAGGGTTTTGATTTCAGGTTCGCAGACATGGAGGAACTTGTGAGCATGTTGCCTAGGTATCGCAAGCTCTGCACGAGCATGAGTTTGGAATGGCCTGTGATCAATTCTCTTTGGAAGTGTGAAGGGGTTAAGAAGATTCTAGATAAGTGTGGTTTACATTTTGCAGTCGAAGTGCGTCTGTGTCAAACAGGATGTGTTTCACGATCTCAGATTCCTGTTGGGAAACGTTTGAAGATAGTTTCAACTTCAGAGAACTTTGCAAAAGCATTGTCACACTTGAGCGTTTGCAGTTGTTCAGAACATGCATCGTTTAACGATGTCGAATGGACAAGCACTGGGTTTTATAATAAGAAACTGGCTGAAAGTATCCTTAAGGGAGTAAGAGCTGTTTCATAGATTTCAGTTCGAAAGGGGGGCTGAGTTCGAAAGGGGGTTTATGACCTTGATTTCCGGGGTCGCTGTCAAAGTCACTGTGCAAGTTTCGGCTTTGGCGTTGGGTCGAAATTCGTTTTGGTCCGACGCGGACTGGAGATTTCGGCTCTGAGCTTCTTGTTTGAGCTGGGTTCTTCTTGCTTTGGGATGCTGGGACTGGATGAGTTCGAGGTTCTCCTTGTGGGAGTCTTTTTGCGTGGGAGCTTTGTCGGAGCTTTCGTGATGTGGTTGTTGGGCCTTCGGACCAATCGAGTTCAGGCGTCAGCAAAGGCAAAGGCGCATTCAAAGGAATGCCAGACACGCCAGATCGCTGGAGCGGCCAGGAGCGAGCTGGAAGATAGAGAGTTTCTAATTTTTCCACATAGTGGAGAGAGAATTCATCTTCGAACGTGTGTTCATGTTCGATCGAAACGCGGACGTGTGACCAGGATTATCAAATCCTGTGAGGACTGTAAGCCTTTTGGACCCTAGAAACGTGTCGAAAAGAGAGCGTGTGTGTCAGAGGACTGTCGGACCTTTCAGGGTGGAGTGCCCTTTGTCCTGCCCTGCTCTGCTTTGCTGTGTCATGTTACTTTTCTTTAGGATAACGACTCCGTGCGAAGCCATGGTTCGTTCGATGAATCTTATGCTGGTAGCCGGGTGCTTCTGCGATTCAACCTCGAAAGGGGGGTCTGGAAATTTAGTGCTGGAGCATTGGGAGACTGGAGCGAGATTGAATCCCTTTGCGTGTTTCGAGTCATTGCTAGAGGCAATGAGTTTGGAGCGATTGTGCCACCACGAATGTCACGAAGCTGGCATATAAGATGTGAGATCTCAGTTTTTGGAATTTGATGCAAGCCTTGCAGGCTAGACAAACTGTGCGATGGGCAGTCTGGTTGGAATTGGGAATTTGGTTGGAGAAAGATTCCGTAGCTTGGTGAAGCTCCGGAATGCGTTCTGGTGTTCATACAATCAGTGCTGTGTGTGGTTGACCGCTCCTCAGGGAGCCGAGCGGAGCAATCAGTGCTGTACGGAAACTGTCGCTCTTCAGGGAGTCGAATGGTTCTGTCAATCAGTGCATGTGTGATCGTTTGTTGCAGCGTGTGCTGCAGTCAGTGCGAGTGTGACCGTTTGTTGCAGTCATCAGTTCTGAACTGATGTTGAGAATTTGCTGGTGTGAGCAGGGAATGGTTTGTGAAAGCCGGAACGTCGTCTACGTGGGTAGAGTGACCATGTGTATATGTGTTTATAGCTGTATAGAAAGATGCAAGTTTTGGGAACTTCGTTTTGCACCACTTCGTTCCTTTTGGGATGAACCTTTGAAACGGTTGGAGTGAAGTTTTGAGCTAGAGGTAAGCGGCATGGTTCGCCGTGCTCCCGGATGATGACATCAAGCCACAGACACTTTGTGTCAAAGGGTCTAGGTTCACGAACCTAGACCATCATGCTGAAAGGTGGCTGTCTGACGGGGGTACGAGAACCATCTCGCGCCTGCCTCTTGTTTTGGAGACCCTCGGTTCGAGGGTAGCTATGCCTTTTTGGAGAGAGCCCAGGAAGAAACTTGAGTTTCTTTGAGTGTTTGAAATGCTACTGTGTGTGGCTCAAGCCAACTCACAAGGATGAAATGTAAAGAGATGTAAAGACAGCTGTAAAGACACCTTGTGTAGAGTGTTTGCTTGTTTGCTTGCACTGCCCACCGGACACTGGAGCCTTCACTGAGAAAAGGGAGCAGCTTCTTTGAGCAACGCTTCTCAAACTGTGTTTGTTGCTGAAACTTTGGTTTTCGGAAACTTCGGAACTCGTTCGTTGAGCGCGAGTAATACTTGGAGTAGCGCGGTAAAGTAGTGCTGTTTCTCTGCACAAAGTGGAGCCTGGTATCCACAAGATTGACCGGCAAGCGTGGAGAATTGTCAAGCTGCCTGAAACGGTCGTTGCGGTGGAATTTGCGTCCTTTCAAGGGTGCTATGCCAGTGGTCGAACTGCCCGGATGCGTCCTTTACGGTGTCAGACTTTTCTCTGAATGCTGTGTACTCGAAAAGTGGGAATTATCACGGATTGCCCCGTCGTCTTTCCCTGCAGGCCTATTACCATACAACACTGCTGACAGGATACTAGCAGCACTCGGGCAAGCGTATCATGGAGGGCCCCTGCACGTACAAGAGAACATGGGGGTTGTGGCTAGCAGATGTCGCGCGCTTGAAAAAGCCAGTGGAATTTGTGAAGCGCTGGGTGCCATTGGATGGTCGCGTGTTGGACTCCCCTGGAAAATGTCCAAGAAGACGTTGCTCTTTCCGCCTGCAGAAAAACATGACCAGGAACAAAAAGGAGATGTGAGGCACAGGAGGCCTTTGCAACATAGGAAACACGTGCTTCATGAAGTCAGTGTTGCAGCTTGTCAGAGAAACGGAAGCCCGAGGAAGAGGTATTTAGCGTGAAAGAAACAAGAACAAATAATGCAAGCGCTAGCCAGAAGGTGTTAGTTTCAATTCATCCTTGTGATGTGCAGTGGGTGAAGGCACCTCCAAGTGAAGACAGTCTCGTGGAGGCATAGCATGAAAGAAACACAAGAACTAATACAAGCGCTAGCCAGAAGGTGTTAGTTTGTATTCGTCCTTGTGATGTGCAGTGGGTGTAGGCGCCTCCAAGTGAAGACAGTCATCGACGTTGGAGGATGCTGAAGCAGCTCGTGGAGTTATGCAACGCAGGATGCTGCAAGCTCCTTCTTTGGTGAGCGTGACGGCTAAAAAGAAGGTTGCAGGGCTAAAAAGAATAAACCATGTGACAGGGTTAAAAAGAATGTTCCAGGGTCGAAAAAGCATGCGCAAGGGCTACAGAGGAATATTGCAGGGCTTTAAGAATATTGTAGGGTTAAAACAAGCATGTTGGAGGGTTAAAAAAGGGTTGGGTTGAAAAACCATGTTTTAGGGTTGAAAATATGTTGCCCTATGTACAGTATAGCTATGTATATATATATATATCTCTATATATATATATATCTGTGTGTGAAACTGTTTATAGCTTGCCATTCTTGATGGGTATGAAGGGGGTCTGCTAATTCAGTGTGCAAGTTGTGTGTTCCATGGTGTAGCAGCCCATGGTTTAGACGTAAATTCGCCAAGATCCGCGCCCAAAAGACTCCTGATGTGACAGTAGCTGCCACATGTTGTGATCGGTTAGACCCAAGGTCCTGGTTTGCCTTGGTTCGCGGTTTTCTTTGGCTGTGTTGTGCTTCTTTTCTGGTTGGCTTCTTGTGAGTGAAGGACATGTCAGTTTGACCGCTGTTGCACTCAAATTGCAATACGGAGACGCTGAGGCTGTCGAGGCTTGTCAACAGAGTTCTGCCTGCCACAATTCCTTGAGGGCAACGCAAGGTCAAGTCGCTTTTTCATGGTCGCTCCCGTTTGTCATTTTGGAGCCACTGCCATGGCATTCCCATCACTGCCTCCCCCTTTGGGGGGGGGCGCCTTGGTGGGCGGGCCGCTTGTCTCGGTTCATCTCGTCCTATGTCCTCTGCAGGTCATGACTTTCACAAGTTTGGCAACCGACTCCTCAGAGAATCACTCTCCTGCGACAAGCTCCTGGTGCTGAGTTACAATTGCTCAAACAACTGCGCTCTTCACAGACTTTCCTTGGGATTTTGAATTCAGTGAGCCGAGGTCCTTCCTTGTCTTTCGGTGGACAATAATCACGCACTTGGTGCTCGATAAAAGCAAACAACTTGTACCGCCAAGTGATGAGGTCAGTATGGAACACACTGAATCCGCCTGGGGCATGATCGTGTTCTTGGACATAAGTTATGATTTGCCTTAGCACTGAGTGCCTTATTGCCTTGCTTCTCACTCTGGCACACTGTTGAACACCCGGGATGCTGACTAATCCGCACCAGCACCTGCATACAAGTGCTCACTGCCCAAAAGGAAGTTCGCTACCTCCTGATCCTCATGTACTGAGCGCAGAGGGAAAGAAGAATTCACTGCCCCGTTTCACTTCACTCTCAAGACAGTCGCTTCGTCTCTTTCAGCCCCCATGGTGAGATACGAGCCTGGTTGGTTTGGTTTGGGTGTTTTTGGTTTTTGGTTTGTGTTTGCTTTTGGGTTGGGCTTTGGCGTTGTTGGGTTGTGTTGTGTTTGGTTGCCTTGCTCGTATCTCCGTAGTTCCCCCATTTAATTCAATTAAGGTGACTTGTGCCTCTCGGCACACACACAGCGCCTCCAACCGTGCAAAAAAGATCTCACTTGAAGCCTGCGAAGCCTGCGAAGTGCTTTGTTGTTTGGGTTTTGTTGGTTTGACTTGAACCTACTGCTCTCCTTTCGGAGGTCTACAGCCTATTCTCCTGTAAGCCTCACAACTGTAGGGGCAAGGGCCTACGGGTCGCTATACGTTTGGGCGAGGCACCTCACTCACTGCCTTGTTGAATTGGCTATGTCTCAGTGTTTGCGGCTATTGTCTAGAGCTGATTAGATTTCGCATATAAGACCCAGGGAGATTCAACCCGGGCCTGCGCGCGTGCATATCTCTCATAACGTTGCAATTTATAGCGTGGTGCCCTCGATTTCGCTCTTCACAGAAGCGCGCAGCACGGTTTGCTTTAAAGAGTCTCAGTCTCGATACATTCCTTATGAGAAGCAGCCTGATAGCTGACCATCTTGCACTAGGTAGGGGGTGATTTCCTGTCAGCATGTGGGTTGCGCTCGTTAACTACAAACATAGG